ATCATCATCATCATCATCATCATCATCATCATCATCATCATCATCATCATCAGCAGCAGCAGCAGCAGCAGCATCAGCAGCAGCAGCAGCATCATCATCATCAACATCATCAGCAGCATCATCACCACCACCACCATCATCATCATCATCGTCATCGTCATCGTCATCGTCATCGTCATCGTCATCATCATCATCATCATCATCATCATCATCATCATCATCATCATCAGCATCATCATCATCCTCATTATCATCCTCATCCTCATCCTCATCCTCATCCTCAGCATAGTCATCCTCATCAGCATCATCATCACCATCATCATCGTATTCATCATCAGCATCGTCGCCATCGTCATCAACAAAATCAGCATCAGCATCAGCATCATCATCATCAGCAGCAGCATCATCATCTTCATCAGCAGCAGCAACATCAGCAACATCATCAGCAGAATCAGCATCATCATCTATAACAGCAGCAACAACAACAAAAACCTCATCAGCAAAATGATCATCCCCATCCTCAACCTAACTCCTCAACCGCAACCTCCCCCCCTCCTCCTTCCCATCCCCCTCCCCCTCCTCGAGCGCCACACTGGTTCGGTGCAGGTCGTGGAGCGCGCCGCGGCGCACGACGCTGGAATGCACCGACGGATGAGGGCGAGGAGAGACAGAAGAGGGATGAGGGGGGATTGGGCTGGCCGCCTGCCTAGGCGAGATCGTCTGAGGCTCCTCCTCCTCCTCCTCCTCCGCCTCCTCCTCCTCCTCCTCCTCCTCCTCCTCCTCCGCCTCCTCCTCCTCCTCCTCCTCCTCCTCCTCCTCCTCCCTCCTCCTCCTCTCCTCCTCCTCCCCCATCCTCCTCCTCCTCCTCCTCCTCCTCCTCCTCCTCCTCCTCCTCCTCCTCCTCCCCTCCTCCTCCTCCTCTCCTCCTCCTCCTCCTCCTCCTCCTCCTCCTCCTCCTCCTCCTCCGCCCCCTCCTCCTAAGGCTAACGCTTGGCCAGTGTGCTCTGCCGCGAGATGCACAGACGGGGTGCGACAGTTGGCCGCAGCCACTGCGGGGGCATATGTCACCGAGCCTGCGCCTCGGACCCGCGACCAGCTCTGGGCCAGGCAGTTCGGCACGAGTGGCTGTGCGTGGAGGAGCGGAGGAGGAAAGAGCAGCAGCAGGAGCTCGACCACAAGAGACCTCCCGCAAGAAAGCCAACCCCGAGTCGGGCGGTGGCAGCACTAGGTTTAGTGGGACTTAGTGATATGCACTGAGGGACGCACCCCCCCCCGCCCCGTTCCACTAACTGGAACTGCCGTCACCCGAAAAAACACCAGCTACGGCAGACCTGGTTTAGTGAGTCTGGCCGACTTAGGGGCTCCGGGGCCCTACCACTAACCGGGTCCCCTTGCCTGGGGTCCTGGCTATACCCGATCACTGAGACCCCAGGACGTCCATCGATTTTGGAACGTCGCGCTCTCCATCGCAAAACCATCGAAACCCAAGACATCCAGGGCACCCTGGAGGCAAGCAGGGTGCTTCTTGGCGTGGGCTCCCACTGCAAGCAGAGAGAGCAGCACGAGCGGGACGGACGGGAGAGCACGTGGCACGTGGACCGGTCTGCGCCGTCCGGGGGGGCCCTCTGGCGGCCCTCCTGTGGCTTCCTGCGGCCGTCTTTTGAGCAGGGACCGACCGTCCCGGCATTCCTATAGGCCTACCACGACATGTTCTTAGAACCCACTCGGACCAGCCCTGGGGGCCCTCCCAGGCGGTCCTGGGGCACCCCTTGGGGGCGTCTCGGGCTCGGCCCCCGCCGCGCTGCCGGGCCCTCTCGGGCTCCGCGCAGTCCCCGGCGCTCTGCTTGCCTCCCTCTGGCTGCTCTCGAGCACTCGTCCGCTCCTCCGCGGGCCCCCTGGGAGCAGCCTTTGAGCTCAGAAGCTGGGAGGCCGAGAGCACACCGTGTTCGACCGATTCGGGCCGTGTGAGGGGGCCCCCTCTTTTTTGGGGCCGGCCCGAGAGCAGCACGATGTCGGTCAGCACAGGCGCTGCTGTCTGCAGCCGTGTGGGGGTCCTCTTGGGACCCTCTCGTGGCACCTTCGAGCCACCTCGGGGTCACCGTGATGCCGCTTGCTGTCCCTGCTGCGCGTCGCAGTCATCCGCGGCCGCCTCCCGCTTGAGCGCAAGCAGTCGCCTGAAGAACTCCACGCACGCCAGGGCGTGGTCTGAGAGAGCGGCCTGGCAGTAGCCCTCTATGATCGAGCCGCTCGCGTGCTCCGCCCAGAGCTGAAGAAAAGCACACTGCTTGTTGTATCTTCGGAAATCGTACGAGAATATCAGGTAGCACTTGGGGGGCGCGCAGGTTCCAGTGAGCCAGAAGCGCAGCAGGTCATGTGGCTTCAGCCCGTTGAAGTGGAGAATGAGCTTAGACTTCCAGACTTTCTTGTCCCTCTCCCACGGCTTCGTGCCCAACCTCCTCGTCAGGAGCTCCACGGCGGAGCCGTAGAAGTCAAGGTATGCCCCATGGTGGGCGGGCCCCTGCATAAACACTGGGCTGGTGCGGTTGAAGATGAAGGACCGGAAAGCAGGAAGCGTCTCCCGCATGAAGGGGAGATTCATCAGGGTGACTCCGGCGTTGCCGGGCTTCGGATCACCCGCGAACAGGTCCGTCGAGAAGGCCAGGCTCGGGGTGATGCCGCTGGAGCGGCTGCTGATGTCGCCGAACACCACGGGGCGGACGAAGAAGGTGTCGGAGTCCAGCAGCAGGCAGTACTCCGCCGACACGTGCAGGGGGGCGTCGATGGAGGAGAGCCCAGAGCACACACGCGTCAGCATAGACTGCCAGAGGTCCGCACGCACTTCTGGGGCCGGCGCTGGAACTCCTCCCCACGGGGCGCACAGAGACATACTAATACTATGCGTCCTCCTCGGAGGCGCGCGTCCGACCCGAACGTACAGTGTAACCATCCTGCGGGATATCGTTTCCCGAGCGGCGTGGCCAGAAGGCACCCGCCACGACGCATATAATATAAGATTTCTCTGTGCGCGCGTCGCCAATGGGGGGCGACGCACATATAGTATTAGTATCCCGCGGCGCCCGCAGCCCGCCAGAGGCGGCGCTGGAGGCGCCGCCAAAGGCCGCGGGGAGGGGACCCCCGCGCCGGCCCAAGAACTCCGCGCGGCCTTCACGGAGTATATGCCCGCGTCGTCTTTCGGGCTCTCGAGAAATCGGTGGCAACTCAAGGGAGCCTCCCGTACAATCTTGTCGGCTCGTGCGAACCGACGCCAATCGACGCTCGTCGACGCTGATCGACGCTGAATCGACGCTAATCGACGCTGACCGACGCCAAATCGGCGCGATCTCATCGACTCCCAGACGCTAGTCGACGCTAGTCGATGCGAGAGGCGGAACGAAAAGGGCACGCCAGGCTCCCATGACTTGCTGCCGAGCGGCCTGCGCTGCCAGGTCCCGAAGTAGTCCCCGGAGTCCAGGAAGCGGTGCCTGGGGGGGAGCAGGGCCCGAAGAGCCGACGCTGCGAGACACGCGCAGCGCCGCGAGGCATCACGGCCGGAGCCCCGGGCCCCAGTCTCCCGCTTCTCTCTTCGAGCAGGATCTAGTCGGGGGCGGCCATGAGGGGGGCGTCCAAGAGGGGGGGGGCGCAAATCATGGCCGGCGGCACGTGCGCGGCCCAGGGGTGGGGGGGGCCAGGGACGCAATGAGATAAGAAGAGGCGCCATGATATCTGAGGAAGCAGCATGGCACACGCCATGATATCCACCCGCCCTTCTCTTAGGTCGGGCGTGTCCTCCTACGGGCGGATTTTGGACGAAAAAGAAAAAGTACTCAAAAAACAAAAAGATAGACGAAGGATCATCGAAAAATCGCCCCCAGATCCTTGTTTTACACTGTTTGAGCAGGCCTCCTGTAGATGGGCGTGCCCGACTTAGGAATGGTCGTAGTAGTAGTGATAAAAGTAGTAGTCGTAGTAGTAGTAGTAGTAGTAGTAGTAGTAGTAGTAGTAGTAGTAGTAGTAGTAGTAGTAGTAGTAGTAGTAGTAGTAGTAGTAGTAGTAGTAGTAGTAGTAAAGTAGTAGTAGTAGTAGTAGTAGTAGTAGTAGTAGTAGTAGTAGTAGTAGTAGTAGTAGTAGTAGTAGTAGTAAGTTACGTAGTAAAAACTACTAATATGTGTGTTAAAGATAATATTTATAGTAGTGAGTAGTAGTATATAGTAGATAGTAGTAGTAGTAGTAGTAGGAAGTCAGTAGTAGTATTCTGTTAGTAGTAGTCCGTAGTAGTCGTAGTCGTAGTAGTAGTAGTAGTAGTAGTAGTAGTAGTAGTAGTAGTAGTAATACCTAGTACTAGTAGTATTAGTAATAGTAGTAGTAATAGTAGTAGTAGTGGTAGTAGTAGTAGTAGTAGTCGTAGTCGTTAGTCGTAGTCGTAGTCGTAGTCGTAGTTCGTAGTCGTAGTCGTAGTCGTAGTTGTAGTCGTAGTAGTTGTTGTTGTTGTTGCTGTTCTTGTAGCAGTAGTAGTCGTAGTAGTAGTAGTAGTAGTAGTAGTAGTAGTAGTAGTAGTAATGCGTTGTAGTAGCAGTCGTAGTCGTAGTAGTAGTGGTAGTAGTACTAGTAGTAAAAAGAGTAGTAGTAGTAGGAGTAGTAGAAGTAGTAGTAGTAGTAGAAGTAGTAGTCGTGGTGGTGGTAGTAGTAGTAATAGTACTCGTAGTAGTAGTAATAGCAGTAGTAGTAGTCGTAGTAGTCGTACTCGTAGTCGTAGTAGTAGCAGTAATAGTAGTTGTTGTTGTACTAGTAATAGTAGTCGTTGTAGTAGTAGTAGTAGTAGTAGTAGTTGTTGTTGTAGTCGTTGTAGTAGTGGTAGTAGTAGTAGTGGTGGTAGTAGTAGTAGTATTAGTAGTAGTAGTAGTAGTAGTAGTAGTGGTGGTAGTGGTGGTGGTAGTAGTAGTAGCAGTAGTAGTAGTAGTTGTAGTAGTTAGTAGTGTTTAGAAAGTAGTAGTAGTAGTAGT